TTTTCCTACTCCACATCTTTTCGAATGCTTTACGGGGAAGAAGGCAGGTTTTTTTACCAATCGGGATTAAAAACATTTTGGGGTTGAAAATTTCAAATTTTACCAAAATAGGGTAAATCTGAAAGAGGAGACGATATTGATAAACGAAACACGATTTTAATAGTTCCAATTTTTTTTGTTGTGAAATCGTGTTTCTAAGTACGATTTCAATTTTTTATTTTTATTTTTTAAAACGTATTTTTTTTATTTTTTAAAATATTTATTTATTAAATAATTTTTTTAATTGAATTATTAATTCAATAGAAAAAAGAATTATTTAGATATGGTAAAATTTAATTCACTGTATTTATATTAAAATATTACATTATTAAAAAAAATACAAATTTATTGTCGAAATGAACATTTTGCACCATTATATCATTTCGACAAAAAGAACATTTTTTTGGTTTATTTCTAATTTGTACATCCATTTCACTTCGAATCTGATTAGTTGTAAGTCTTCCTGATGTATCTCGATGCATATTAGGAGGACAAGTTTCTCATACCATTTACTTCATTTCATCTGAAACAAACATGTTTTCTACCTCTTCTATGACACCACTATCAACATACAATCAAATACCTTTTGTGGCTACTATGTCCTTTATATATGCAAATGAAGAGGATGATGATGATGATAGGGAAGCAAACATTCAACCTCAACCATCACAGGATCGTACACGTCCTACACAAGTACAACAAATGTCTATTCAAGATCAACCACGTAGACCAAGACGACAAATAAGAAGACCATCTTGTGGGACAGGGTCTCATCATTAATTTTCTATGTGATAATATATATACATGTAATATTTTAATATAAATATAGTGAATTAAATTTAATCATTTTTATTTAAACATTTTTATTTTTTATTAAATTAATAATTCAATTGAAAATAATTATTTATTAAATAATATATTAAAAAAGTGTTTTAAAAAAAAGGTAAAATCGTGCTTTCAAGCACACTTAAAAAAAAAGTGAAATCGTGTTTTCAAACACATGGTTCCACACACATTTTGACCCATTTTGGAAAAATTAAAATTTGTTAACCTTTTTCAGTAAAATCAATTTTTTGTTAATTTGTTAGACAAATGACATCTAGAGGGGGTGAATAGATGCACAAATTAAAATAGATGTTAAATTAAAAAATTATTTGTGAGTCAATAATTTGTTTGAACATAAATAAAACGGAAACGATAATATAATTAGGAAAAGAGAAAGAAATAAAGGTAAGAGAAGAACACACAGAGAATTATACTGGTTCGGGTATAGTCAACCCTACATCCAGTTCTTAGTCAACTCTTAACACAAGAGTAACTCCCAATTCACTATTTTTCAAATTCAGTTTACAAATTACAATCAATTCAGCAGAAGAACTAGTAAAAAGTAAACTAATTAAAAAGACAATCATCTCCTTAGAAACCCACTAAGGATGAACACCTCCCTAGAATTCCAATAGGGATGAACACCTCCTCTGAACAAATCAAAGGATGAAAAACACCTCCTTAAAATCCCACTAAGGATAAACACCTCCCTAGAATCATACTAGGGATGAAAACCTCCTTTGAACAAATCAAAGGATAAAAACACCTCCTTAGAATCTCACTAAGGATGAACACCTCCCTAGAATCACAATAGGGATGAAAAGTACCTCCTTTGCCACCAATACACAAAGGATGAAGGTAATAAAAATAAAAACAGTCACACCTGGGTAATGGACACAACAAATTGTAGAAGCCTGTAGAATGTCAATCTCAAAGAACAAGTGTGATTAACAATGAAAGCACAGAAGGCAGTAGAGAAGAGAGTTTTCTCAGAAGGTGTAAAATATCTTTGTTGTCTTGCTCAGGATTCTTTTTTCAAAACTGATTGAATGTAAATTGTATTTTCGAATTCTATAATTGTGTGTATTTGATTTTTCATCAAAACTTAATTAAATAGAAAAATAACATCAGAAAATGGTCGTTGGACATTAATATTTTTGTGAATAAAAATCAGGATATATTCAAAAATATTTATTTTTCAAAACAGATATATTTTTCAAATTTGAATTGCCATAATTGATTATGTTACCAGTATAATCAATTATGACAGAGAAAATCATTTTTCCATTTTTGATGCATCATAATTAATTCTGACAGTGAAAAATATCACATTATGAATTTTATCTCACACTTGTGCTTTGTAGACTTATGCATCATATTACTTCGTCAACTTGTACCTCCATATTCAGTATTCTAAGACTCTATCTAGTCTTCACGAATCATCTTAGACTTGCTTGAATAATCATCTTTATCAAAAACATATCTTGGACATGTAGGGAAATGTTTCACGTTGTCACCAACGTCATAAATTCAGTTTGTACTTAATTTGGTGTTGACTTGAATGTAGTTGACTTAAATCATCATCAAAATCATCTCTTGAGAATCTAGAGATATTTCCATCAATCTTCCCCTCATTGCTTTCATAACCTTCATCAGTAAAAAGGCCGGCGAAGGCAAGACGGTTAATAGAGGCCACCACACGACCCCAACCCCAAGTCAATTTTTTCTCACATATATATATATATATATATATATATATATATATATATATATATATATATATATATATATATATATATATATAATATTTTTAAAAATTAAATAAAAGTTATTTAATAATATAAAAGAAAAATTAAAATTTTATCTTTTTATTTTATTTTTTATTTATAATAGATATTATATTTAATTTTTTTACATTTTACTTATTCTTTTTCTTTCTATTTTTATATTTTTATCTTTTTTCTCCCATATTTTCATTTTTTTATCAACTTTTTTTATTAAATATTTATTTTGTCTTTTCATATTTTTATCTTTTATTTTTATTATTCATTCACTCTAGTATTTGTCTTTTTCATGTTATTATCTTACAACATATCTTTTGTTTTTAAATTTTTTATTTTTTTATAATTTTATCTCTATAACATAAAAAATATGATTTTGTATTTTTTCTTTTTGGTCTTGTGTATAAAAAGGCATAAGACAAAAAATAAAAAATAAAAATAAAGGAGATATCTCATAATAATATTTTTTAAGTAAAAAATAGTAAATAAATTATTTTTTTATTTATTATTATAACAAATTAACATGTTTAGTGTAATATAAAAATATAAAATATTGATATTTTTTTATTTTTTATAAATTAATTAATTATTTTAATGTTTTATGATATTCTAATTTGATGTTAAATATAAATAAAAAAATAATTTAAGTTTTAAAGATATATAAAAATAAAATTATAGAGTCATTTGAAAAAAAAGATGAAATAATTTTTATTTTCTAAAATTTAAATTTAAATTTAATAAATAATATTAATATGTTATATGATAATTAATTTTATTTTTATAATTTTTTATATATTATCCCTCTTATCTAAAATTTTTGCTTTGGATAGTTTCCTTTGCAACCATCAGTAGTAGAGATCACAATTAAAGTTGTACTCGTGGGAATCAATACTTTTGTATTTTTCAATTTCTTATATTATTCACTTTATTATATTATTTTTTTCTTTGACTTCTTCACATTTTTTTAATCTCTTTAATCAATATATTTTTTGTAATCTTTTCAATAAATTTGACAAACACAAAATTAATTTTTTTTATTTTATTTTTTTAAAATATTTTTTATCAATCTTAATGATAACTAATGATATTTTATTTATAATTTATATTTATTAATTTTTATTATGTTATATTTTTTTAATATTATTATTTATAATATATCAAATTTTCTTAATAGAATAATTATATTTTGAAAGATTAAAAAAATTAATAATTAAAATTTTTATCACTTTGAATTAATTAATTAAAAATTAATTTATTAAATATTTTCTTATAAATTATATATTTTATATTTAATTTTTTTTAAATAACAACTTCAAAAATAATTAATTTATATTTATAATTAAAATGTATAATTATTTTTTAAAAATAATATAAAACAGGTCAGAAAAACTCGAAATCCAATCAAAATAACACTTAATTTCTAATTCAGAAGTAACTAGAATAAACAGTAAAAAAAAAAACAGTGGACAAAACCCACCACCATCCCAGGTTATCAGAATTTCCAACTAGTTTAAGAGGCTTTAAAGGATGTGAACCGGGTGAACCGGGTTCGATCATATAAGACTTTCTTTTATATTGAAATATCAATGTTAAAGGCGATCCTTTTCTCGTTCTTATTCAAGTTTCAAAAGTCTCCCACCCAAGAATAACATATATATATATATATATATATATATATATATATCGTGAAGTAAGCATGCATCAAAGTCTAGAGTTGATTAAACAAAGAAACATGTGAAACAGGAAGTTTGAGTTTCTGAACAGTATTACAATCACCAATCATCCTTGTTCTGCCTTCCAACACTATCTTGTGCTTTTAAATATAAGGAAAGTCATATATCAGAAGAAAATTGTTAAAAACTGAAACTTAAAAGTCACAACTAAAATATACAAAAACCAGCTAACATGCGGATATGTCCCTAAAGTTAATATATATCTCACAATCCACTGTTACAGATGTTCTTTCATTTTTTTTTTTTTAAAAGAGCATGATATATTTGATGATCTCACTTATATCTCTATTTCCTAAAATATTCTATTTTTTCTTTTATTTGCTTATATATAATAATGTGCTTGGACATTTTCTTTGAGGCACCTTTCATGTGATTTTTGACGTCCGCAAATTGTTAGTTCTTGCTTCCAACTTTTCTTCTTGTATAATGTGATGAAGTAACGTTCTCAAATCATTTTCAAACACTCGTCAAGAGTTTCTAATGTAGCTAATGAAATATTAATAATAAACGCAATCATATTACCAAATGTTGAAATATTAACGATAAACGCGATATCATGTTCTCATTTACAGTCAACTATCCAAGTCTATACCATGCAAGAAAAAAAAATTTTGTTGTGGGGATGACGTATAAAAAATTCTTGATTAAACAGAAACAGGTGAACAACCCGATTGAGTTTCTGAGCTTTACAATCAACATGAACAACCATACATTTTATGTCTGTCTTACAATTTTGGTGTTTTTGCTGGTTCTTTGTCGAGCCACTAATGGGCTAACTCAGGCTGAGGCTCTCATCAAGTGGAAACAAAGTCTACCTGATCAACCCATTCTGGACTCATGGGTGATCAACTCCACTGCAACAACTCAGACTCCATGTTCGTGGCGAGGTATCACTTGTGATTCCCAAGGCAGTGTCGCTATTATAAACTTGGCTCAAACTGGACTTGCAGGTACCCTTCGGAACTTCAACTTTTCTGTTTTTCCTAACCTTCTTCGTCTTGATCTCAAAGTAAACAACCTCACTGGCCCCATTCCACAAAATATTGGGGTGCTCTCAAACCTCCAATTCCTTGACCTTTCCACCAATCATCTCAATGGCACTCTCCCTCTCTCTCTTGCCAATCTGACTCAAGTTTATGAGTTTGATGTTTCAAGAACTCACATAGCAGGGATATTAGACCCTCGCTTATTTCCTGATGGATCTGACAACCCCAAAAGTGGTCTCATTGGTATCAGGAATTTTCTCTCCCAGGACACCCTGCTAGGTGGCAGAATCCCAAATGAAATAGGGAACATAAGAAACTTAACTATTCTAGCTATCGAGGGAAACAAATTTTATGGGCCTATTCCTCCATCTTTAGGCAACTGCACACATTTAAGCATTGTCAGATTGTCTGAGAACCTACTCACTGGCACAATACCTCCAAGTATTGGTAAATTAACCAATCTAACCGATGTGCGCCTTTTCACTAACAACTTAAATGGTACAGTACCACAAGAATTTGGAAATTTATCCTCCTTGATTGTGCTGCATCTTGCTGAGAATAACTTCGTCGGTCAATTGCCACAAGTGTGCAAAAGTGGCAAACTTGCAAGGTTTGGTGCAGCTTACAACAGTTTCACTGGCCCAATTCCTAGAAGCCTTAGAAACTGCTCAGCATTGTTCAGAGTTCGACTTGAATACAATCGTCTGACAGGCTTTGCAGATCAAGATTTTGGAGTGTATCCTAACCTCACTTACATGGACTTCAGCTATAACAAGGTGGTAGGTCACCTTTCTGCAAATTGGGGTGCCTGCAAGAGCATGCGATCACTCAAAATGGCAGGGAATGCACTCAGTGGCAACATTCCAGGTGAGATTTTTCAGTTGAACCAGCTAGAAGAGCTTGACCTATCCTCCAACCAAATATCAGGAGAGATTCCTCCACAGATAGGAAATTCAGCCAAGTTGTATGAATTAAATTTGAGTCACAACAAACTCTCTGGTAAGATACCATCAGAAATTGGAAAGCTTTCCAACTTGCGGTCCTTAGACCTCTCTATGAACATGCTGTTGGGTTCAATCCCAAATCAGATAGGGGACATTTCCAACTTGCAGAATTTAAATCTGAGCAACAATAAGTTAACCGGCACAATCCCCTACCAAATTGGAAACCTTGCAGCTTTACAATATTTTCTGGACTGGAGTTACAATTCACTTTCAGGAAATATTCCTGCTGATCTCGGGAAGCTCTCAAATTTGATAAGCTTGAATATCTCTCACAACAATCTGTCAGGTTCCATCCCTCACTCCATCAGTGAAATGTTGAGTTTGTCAGCCCTCAATCTCTCCTACAATAATTTGGCGGGTCCTGCTCCTGAAGGTGGAATATTCAACTCTTCTTATCCCCTGGATTTGAGCAACAACAAAGATTTATGCGGGCGTGTTCGAGGCTTACAACCTTGTAATGTCTTTCTCAGTCAACCTGTTGGTGAATCTAGTGAGAAAAACAAGGTTGTGATCCTTGTAGCTTCCTTGGGAGGCGGTCTTCTTATTTCTTTGGTATTAGTTGGGATTTGTTTCTTGTGCCATAAGAGAAAGGCAAGAGCTCCAAGTCAAAAAATTTCAGTCGGAGGAACAAATCCATTTTCAATTTGTTACTTTGACGGCAGAGTTGTGTATGCAGACATAATAGAAGCCACCAATAACTTTGATAGCCAGTATTGCATTGGGGAAGGAGCACTGGGAAAAGTTTATAAAGCGGAGATGCAAGGAGGTCAAGTATTTGCTGTAAAAAGGTTGAAGTGTGATGCAGACAACTTAGATGTTGAGAGTATAAAATCATTTCAGAATGAGGTAAAAGCCATGACAGAAACACGCCACCGAAACATTGTCAAGCTTTATGGATTTTGCTCCCAAGGGATGCACACTTTTTTAATTTATGAGTATATGGATAGAGGGAACTTAGCTGACCTGCTGAAACGTGAAAATGGTGCAGTGGAACTAGATTGGCATAAGAGGGTTGATATCATCAAAGCTGTAGCAAGCGCTTTGTCCTATATGCACCATGATTGCACTCCCCCTTTAATTCACAGAGACATATCAAGCAAGAATGTTTTACTGTCCTCCAATCTTTCTGCCCATATCTCAGATTTTGGAACTGCAAGGTTTCTAAAACCTGACTCACCTATCCGGACATCATTTGCTGGCACATACGGCTATGCTGCTCCAGGTGTCTGTTTGAAATCTATGAAGCACCATTGTACCAATTTGGTTCTATGTTCTTGATTATGAATATTTACTTTTTCCAATATTCCATACTAATAATACCAAATACAACTTTGTTCTTCTTGTTTGCAATTGGCTAACATTGATTGTTGTACAGAGCTTGCTTACACAATGGCAGTGACTGAGAAATGTGATGTGTTCAGCTTTGGCGTTTTGGCTTTGGAGGTTCTTATGGGAAAGCACCCCAGTGACCTTGTTTCCGTCTTACAAACTTGGAGTGAAGAAAAAGAAAACTCTGAAAAGATTTCACTAGACCCTCGTCTCTCACCTCCTCCAAATAACCGTATTTTGAAGGAATTGAATTTGATTGCGAACATTGCTCTTTCATGCATACAAGTAAACCCTCAATCTCGACCAACCATGCAAAACATAGTTCAGCAGCTTAGGCTGTAGATGATACATGATGCATTTTGAATTGTCTATGCTGCATATATATTCAGCATCCCTGTACCTTACCGTAAATAATGAGGATTAAAGCATTTCAAAATATTCTTAGCATTTCTTTGTCATGGTATCATTTATAAGTTTGCTTCTTTTCTTTTTTGGGGTTGCAATCACTCTTGGCTTGTATCATACATATACTATATCCTTCACCACAGAAACTGCTTTCCTTGAATAAAACAAGCAATCTATTGAACGAAATTGTTAAAATATTTTCATGTTGATAAAACATCCCCTTCTCTTTTTAGTGGTGATGATGGAATAATACTAATATGGTTGATGTCTTAAATTTAAACTTCACTGTCACTGTTTTTCGTAAAATAAAACCGTATATATTAATGGATTTATAAGAAAAATTGAACGTAGGTTTAATGATTAAGATCAATCTTGTTTTTTAATTAGATATTGTATTAAAACATTTGTTAGGGTTTATTAATGTTTTTCTTTAATCATTATCTTTCGTACGAATTATTAAATTGCATGATCATTGAGTAAACATGGTGGATAAATAAATTATTATTTATTAATATCTAATACAGTATCCATTTTTTTATAGTAATATAAAAATATCTAATATAAATAAAAAATAATTATTTACTTTTATAAATTTTATCGAAAAATAATTATTTTATCTTTATATTTTTTATTTTCATTATTCTTCTTATGTAATAGTACTATACCAGATGAATTCTTTTTTATAATCAGTTTTAGTATTATCATTTATAGAATTATATTATCTTTTGTAAAATCAAAATAATTTTTTTATTATCCTATGAAAAATAAAAAAAACATATACGAAAAATAATTATTATATTATTTTAGAAATAAAAATTGATTATGATATTATGTATTAGGAAAAAATTGTGGAAAAAAAATACAAATATTATTATTATAAATAAAATGAAGTTTTTTTATTATGATATTATAAAAAATATTATAAATAAAATTAATAATATAAAAAATATAGACACATTAATAAAAATAATTATCTAATTATTTATATTTTTTCTCAATTTTTAAATAATAAAAATAATTATTTTAAAAAATAATTAAAAATATTTTTTATTGATTATTGTAAATTATAAATATATTAGTGCATATCAAGAAAACACATTACCTTAAAAGTACCCGTGTCATAAATTTAAATTTAATTTTAAAATATATAGTTTTTAAAATAGACTATATTATTTATTATTTAAGTTTTTTAATACTCTAATATTTTAAAAATATATATTTTTAGTTAGTATAATAATTAAATAATAACTATATCATTATTAATATTATATTATTTAATAACTTTTATTGGATATGAACAGTGACGGATCTTGACCATTGATTATGTGTCAAATAATATATTATTAAAAAATAGTAAATAAATATAAAAGGTAAATGAAGATGAAAGGGTAGAGCATAAAATTATAAATATATAAAATGATTATTAAGTTTGGGGGCAAAATAAAAAAATATATGAGAGTTACAAAATTGAGAAGAGACCGAGATGATAAAATTGTAAATATACAAATAAATATATTAAAGTTTGGGGGGTTAAAATCATAAATTACATGGGAGTTACAAAACTTTGGGGGCCACGACCTCTTTCGGTTCCCAAAAAGATCCGCCACAGGATATAAGGTTAAATAGACAAAACCTATCGATTGACTCATAAAAAATTATGTTGGATTTGATTTGATTTAATAATAATAAAAAATAAAAAAAATAAAACTAACTCAATTCACTACTTGGATTTGGTTAAATTAGATCATAGAGTATGAAAACCTTTACTTAATCTTTTAATTCATTTTGTTTATATAAACATTTGAGAAATTATATAGGATAACTTTTACTACTTTATAAACTAATATGTACCCTTAAATAAATATAAAATATTTATAATTAGTTTTCACTATTAACATAATTAATTTAGTTAGAAATATTCAACTTATCTATAATAATAATTTTTTTCTCAAATTATCTTTAAGTAAATATGGAGAGAAAATAATAGCTGTGTTTATAGTGAAAAATGGTTTGAGGTATACTAATTTATTTCTAATGAAAAAATATTTCATACAAACCACTTAAGTTCTTTTTGTTTAGATTAATAAATAGTAATTTTTTAATTTACATAGTGTTTTACTGAATCATTGATTAGTGTTTCGCTTAACAATTAATATGAAGTCATTTTTTAAAATAAAATTTTTCATATTAATTTAATAAAAATGCTTATAAAAATATTGATTGTAAACTTGTATTTTAAGTACCAATTCAGACATGACTTAATCTTGGATTCCTTTTGTCATGAATAATAAAACCTAAAAATTCTTCTGCATTTACTCTAAAAACATATTTTAAGGGGTTCATTTTTAAATTATTTTTTCTCATCCTTTTAAAGGTTTGTTTTAATTTATAGAGATGAGACTCTTTTGTTTTAAATTTATTCACAACATCATCTATGTATTCTTGCATAAATTTTTATAATAATGTTATAAGTATTCAAATATTTGAATAATAATAATAATAATAATAATAATAATAATAATAATAATAATAATAATAATAATAATAATAATAATAATAATAATGTTATAAATATTCTCTCTCTATATATAAATAAAAAATAATTAAATATTTTTTACATACATATTTTAATATAAATATAATAAATTAAAATGTATATTTAATTAATAATAATTATAAATTATAAATTATAAAATTATAAATATTTATTTATATATAAAAAATACATAATAAAATTAATTTATTATAAATGTAATTATCTTTTTAAAAATAATATAAATCGGGGATGGGCGCGGGATCGGGGCGAGGACGAGGATGATTAAAAAAGTCGGGGCGGGGATAAGGGAGGCAAAACCCGCCCGCCCCACCCCGTTGCCATGCCGTTAATCAATTAATGTGCTTTAGTTTGATTTTGTTTCAAGTTGTACTAAGAGCCTAATTGGAAACTTAGGTATCAGCCTTTGGGAGATCAAGATGGTGCATAACTTAATTGACTTTTGGTTGCCACAATTTCACTTACAATCAGTCATTAAGTAATGTTTAATTCCTAGGTTAATAGATTATTATTGTCATTTATTTGTCTCCATTAAGTATTTTCAATTCCAAGATTAATAGATCATTGTTAACATTTATTTTTCTTTATTGAGTCTTTGTAACTTTGATGACAAAACTTCTATATAAGCTGAACCAATTTTATCAGAAATAACAAGTTGAGTTTTTATTCAGAAATATTAAAGTTTAGCTCTTTTATCTTAGTGAGAGTGATTTTCCTAAGTTATTCGACCTTTCATATTCACATCTTGTCCTTTATTTACCAGAACAAGAAAAAAACTTATCTCTGTGCAGATTTATTTCGTGGTCATAAATTTCATTCTACTTGTTCAAATTGAGTGTTTATTGAGCTTAAATTAAAATTCAGAAAAAGAACTTTCACCTCATTTTTGAATCATCTCAATCGGAGTTTTATAATTTGAGATATCGACGTTTCAATAATTCTGCCCAACCTTGAACTTTTACACTTTCTAATCTATCTTCTCACTAATTTTCTACAAAGTTTCTAACCCTAAAGATCCTAAATCAGTTCTTATGCAAATAAGATTCATATCATTTGGTATTAAAGCTTTAGTTTAAGGGTTTGAACATCAAATTTGTAACATCTTTTCTTCATTCTCTTTTTACCAAGTGATTACCTTATTTTGTTCATATTATTTGTGATTGTGTTGAATCATTGCAAAAAAAATAAAAAATAAAGTTACAACATTTTATAATTTGGTTGACAGTGATAAAAAAAAATGGGCTGAATGATTCATGCTTTTGAACAAATTGTTATAAGGTAATATATTGGTGATCTTGAAAGATTGTTGCTAATTCTTTTGTTTACCAATTTTTTTTTTACCCCTTTATTTTTGTGATTTGTTAGCCTTTCTTGTATACCTAGCCTTACCGTGCACAAATATTGGAGGATTGTTCTTTGTTGTGACCATAATATTTTGAATTGCCTAAGAATCTAAGGAGCCTTTGAGTGGTAAAAGGCAAGAGTGTTTTCATTAGAGGAAAAACCATAATTGTGTGATACACTGAAGTGTGGTGAGGTTACAATATTTTTTTATTGTTTCTTTTGATATATTTGTTGTGATGACAAAGGAGGAAAATTACAATTAAGGAGCAAGAGTTATTCCATTCCAAATGAGGACATTGATACAACATTTGGAAGGATTAATAATACGACATAACAATGAACTCCATGAAAGATTGAACTGGTTGGAGAATAGAGATCCCGAAGATGAATAAGAGAGGAGAAATAAAAGGAATGATGGAGTAGTAAGACCAAGTAGGCTTGAAGGAGTCAAGTTTAACATTCCTCTGTGTTAGACAAATAACATCTAGAGGGCGGTGAATAGATGCACAAATTAAAATATATGTCAAATTAAAAATTTATTTGTGAGTCAATAATTTGTTTGAACACAGATAAAGCGGAAGTGATAATATAATAAGGAAAAGAGAAAGAGATAAGGGAAAGAGAAGAGCACACAGAGATTTATACTGGTTCGGGTATAGCCAACCTTACATCCAGTTCTCAGTCAACTCTTAACACAAGAGTGACTCCCCATTCACTATCTTTCAAATTCAATTTACAAATTACAATCAACTCAGCAGAAGAACCAGTAAAAAGTAAACTAATTAAAAAGACAATCATCTCCCTAGAATCCCACTAGGGATGAACACCTCCTTTGAACAAATCAAAGGATGAAAAACACCTCCTTAGAATCCCACTAAGGATGAACCCCTCCCTATAATCACACTAGGGATGAAAAACACCTCCTTTTCCACCAATGCAAAAAGGATAAAGGTAATAAAAATAAGAACAAACACACCTGGGTAATGGAGACAACAAATTGTAGAAGCATGTAGAATGTCAATCTCCAAGAACAAGTGTG